TTTTAATAATTTATTTTGTATATATTTTAATTTTAAATATAATTACTTTTCATAATTTGAACTCTAATAATTTTTGTCAGATCTAGAACACTCGTTATAAATACATATTTCACGTATTACCGTATATTACCGTATTAACGTATATTAGTCATAAATTGATAAATTATTCAGATGATAGAGACTCGTTTCAATTTTAGATGATTACTGATTTTTTAAATTTGAGATATTCGTCAATTTAATACTCATATTTTCTGTTATCTAGGATGTATTTAGTACATATAGTACATATATATTAATATTTTTCTTATGTTTATAAATTAATGAATTATCTAAAAACTCGAAATGTGATTTTTGATTCTCTTTCTTTTTTTAATTCTCAAATAATCCCAGTATAATAATTTGCTATATCTAAGAATTTAATATTTATTATATTATATATTTTCGGAAATATATTGTGAGATAAAATCCTTTCTTCACTGTCTGATATGTACTCGCATTCACATATAATATTTATTAAACATTTTTATCTAAAGTTAATTAGTACAGAAATATTAAGAAAAGAATATTTCACTACATTGTGATAAGATCTGTCGGGAATCTACAAAACCCTAAATTTATAAATTTATCTTACTATATTCATCTTGAGCAGACCTTTGCTTCTATCAAAAATTTCAATATCATCACTGCAACAAGCTCACTTTTTGCGAGCATTCCTCTGCTTGCTATCTTTAGCTTTAAAGATAGCTGGATCAAGAATATTGATGGGTCCATTGTTCCACAATGAAGCAGACACGGTCTCAGTAGGCTCAATGGTGGATGGCAGCAGGTGGGGTCCGACCAGAAAATATGCCTGCTCGATCCAAGTAGGCAGAGGTAATCCGGCGACGCAACACTGCCACAGTGGTAAGCCCAAATGAGCCAGCATCATGCGGAAGTATATGGTAAAATTATCAGCCAAGTGATACCAGCCACTGCCTCGATGGAGACAAATACTGGGAGAGTCCTGTTCCTGTTTAGAACAATATGCCAAATAAATCTTGCCGTTTTCGGATCCCGGGAAACACTGGCCAATCTCGAAGAATTTACAATCGCGTGAATCCCCGGAGAATATGGTATCTTCCGCGATGACGTTTCCCATTTGGATTTCTGTCGATTCCTGTATCGATGGTCCTGTTTGCCGATCCTTACTGACGTATCTCTTCAGAGACGAAAGACCGCCGATTTCCATACGACCTATTGAAAATTCCTCGCCTACGTCGACATGGAATTTTTAAATTAGTATCGCTGAATTAAAGTCAGTAGCTTGAAGCTAATGATTTTCTATATTGCTATAGATAAATAAAACTTGGGAGAAAGTATAAAGGATATTTTGACACTCGAAGCTTTTTTTGGACAATTATTTTTGGACAATACGTGATATCTTTTTGACAAATTGTATCGTCTAGATTGTCATCTCTCATTATTTAGACAACTGAATCGTGAATATATTTCAGTGCTTGTCTGTTTTGTCGAATGAAACATTTTTTAATATAATTTAGAATTGCTAATAATATTGTAAATAAAAGAGTAACACACAAAAAAAATCGCAGCAAAAGAGGAACACAGCTTGTTATTGAGAAATCAATAAATAATGATTTCAGTGCATTAAAAATTTTTATCTATAATATCACAATATAAGATTCAATATTTAATGGTGAAATATACATACATCTTTAAAAGTTTTTAGATGAATCCTAAATTCTGAGTACAATAGTTGATAAAAAACAAGATTGATTTTTATGTTTACTTTGCTTATAAATATATCTTTTGATTTAATATTATAATAATTGTTAATAATTATACGAAAAATTCTAAATATAAATTATAAAAATAAAAATTTTCGATATTCCATGATGAACCATTTTTGCTTTGTAAAAAGGATTATTATTACGCAATTTATATTCAATAATTATAAATTTTTTGAAATAAACAAAATAGCTTAGAATGTATGTTGATAGATTAAGACAATAAATATCTATAAATTTATAATAAATATTTACACGATGATAACAAAAATTTATAAAATTATATGTGGAATATACATATGTAATTCTTGTAACAATATTTTTAAAAAAGTTTAATGAATGTATAATAATAATATGAATATAATAATGGATATTAATGGATATTCAATATAAATTTATAAAATATAATATTATTAGACATATATGGATGTAATGAAAAAAATGTACAATTGATGGGAACGAAAAGAGGAAAGATACATTGAATCGGAAATACAGGATTAAATTAAAAGTATTTACCTGCTATATCAAAATTCCACTGTAATAGGAAACCATCGATAGAAACATAGAAATTCCGGATGTCTTCGGGAAGCGTACAGCAATGGCGTTGCTCCCAATTAGTGATAGCTCCAGATTCACAGCCATTTCGCCTCTCGACCCGCACATTTCTCACGCATGGCGAGTTCTCGAGGATCTTGACTACGCCGAGGGTCAGATTCTCGTAGAAGGAATCCTCGGTGACAATATCCACGCAGAATGACATTGTCTCTGAATTCTTGCTCTCCATCTTTTGCATATTTAAATTTAGTGTCAAATTAATTTTCCAAAAATTATAGGAGATTTAGTATTACAAAATATATTTCTGTTGATCTTCTTTAATTTATTTTTATAAGCTAGCTTATAAAATATATAAGCTAGCTTATATATTTTTATAAGCTAGCAATATTTCTCCATATTAAAAAGAACGAAAGAGGAATTATAAAGAAATCATAAAAGACAATCGCAAGAATTATAATATTGTTATATTATTATATTGTTAGTACTGTTCTATAATATTGACATATAAGTATATCCAAAGTATTTACAACATTATGTCAGAGAGAACGAGAAAATTATCAAAATATATTTTATGTTCATATAAATATTTAATGTTTTAATATATTTTTTCTATTCACTCTCCATCGTGTAATTCAAATTTATTTTTGCTTCTTCGTTCTAGCTCTTATATCACCTCTTCTACTTCTTATAATACCTCTCTTATGTAATGTCCGCTCTTTATAGCAGTTGAAAATTAAAAGACGTAATGAGCAAGTGAATAGTGCATTAAGTCACAGATGGAAGCAATTACCATTTGTATGTTTATATTATTTCGCTCACGTGCTACGAAGAAGAAATATAAGAATTCTGTTCATTCCGAATATTATGATGTTTTATAATTGACGTTGCATCGATCTATGTTATGTAATCATCGTATTGATATAGAGACACCGAAATAATATAAATTTTTGCACTACACATTATAATTCACTTCGTGACAATGTCAGAAATATCGCTCTTTTATCTTTCGACGTTCTAGCATCGCGAAGTATACGTCAGTTCTTTGTTTATTGCCATGACGACGAAACTTTCAAAGCTCAATATCCTCAAAACAATGTATAGAATGTCTCATAATATCGTCTTCTTGTTCATGTATGTGATTAATTCAAAATTTTTTACAGCTTCAACTTTTTCTTAAGAAAGATTTAACTTGTTAGCTTTTCGCTTTATAATATATTTAAATATGTCATCTATTAAATATGTCATAACAATTGAGCGTAAAAGATTTATTTCATCAAAGAAAAATGTTTGAAAAACAACAGTGACTAATTAAATTTTTTTATATAAATTAACATCACTAATAATATAAAGTGATTAATTAATTAATTATATATAT